CGGGGGAGTTTATTTCAAAGTGCACCGCTGTGATTTGTATGAAACAGTCCAAAGAGAGGAGACTTTGAGACAGAAAGGTGAGTCTATTTCATCTTCAAATGTTTAACGGTAAACTGTGAGACCGGGACGGCGGAGTCAAGCTAGAGAAAACACCGGAAACAGTTTCCCCTTTCAAAATAAAGCAGTGTAAAGGGAGTTTAAGCCACTGTGAGCTTCAGTTTCAGTTTATAAAGATTAATCCGTCCTTCATAATAAGACTTAATCTTCACATCAATGTAAAAGAAAAGGATCAGAAAGTTCTTTCATGTATAAACGATCTCTAGAAATGGTTCTCAACTGGTGGGTCGGGACCCAAAAGTGGGTCGCAAAGGGTTTTAGGACAAAGAAATTGGATATGTTAATATTGGCCGATATTATCAAATAAGTGTCGAAATGTCATGCAGGTAGACTTTTATATTCACCATCTCCTCTGAAGGACGCTTGTCTACATCCGAGATTTGAAGGTAAAGGAGAGTTTTGGGGGAGTATGACGTACAGCTCACGGGACAATCTTTAAATGTGTACAAACAATAACGTCCTCAGCAGAATGCCACTTCAGTGATGTTTACAGATACCCCGAGGAGAATCTGTCACCACATAAACATGCAAAAAAAACTGTTAAATAATCGTGATTAAAATGTTTCAACGTTGGACAGCCCTAGTCGAAAACACTTACAAGTATACAGAAGCCGAAGTGGAAATGCCTCAAAGTCTTTTTATTTTACTCAACTGTCCCGTGGTCAGTTATTAATTAATTCAATCAATGAATCAATTTCTTCAGATCTCAAAATATAACAGGACAGCTAGCGTCGTTACCGCTACTTGTCATCAAATAAATAAAATATCCTAAACGTGTTTGTTCCCCTCAGACAGAAAGAAGCAGCTCAAGATTTCAGATGAATATGATCAAATACGTTTTATTGTAATCTTTGTGTCTTCTGTTTTGACCCTTCAGAATGTCGTTCACTGTAATCTTGTTTTGGTGGTTTTGGTGGTGTGACTGGAAGTCGCCTATTTCCTGTTGTCAGTTTTTACTTTAAAAGCATGAGACTGTTAATTACTGCCGTTTATTTTTTATATATTTTTATTTTTGTATTGTCATTGATCACGGATCACACACACACACACACACACACACACACACACACACACACACACACACACACACACACACACACACACACACGCATGCTCACACACACACACACACACACACACACACACACACACACACACACACACACTCACACACACACACACACACAGCTCTTCAAGGATTACTGTTCAGGTGTTTAGTCCAACAGATCTTAGTGGGTTAATCTTGTCTGGCTGACCTCAAGCATTAGTGGACCAGGGTAAAGCTAATTTGTAGTCCAGGGTAAAGCTAATTTGTAGTCCAGGTTAAAGCTAATTTGTAGCCCAGGTTAAAGCTAATTTGTAGTCCAACTATTCACCTCTTGCCAGAAACAGGCTCTCCCTCTCTGCTGCACTGGGCTCAGTGTCCAATGTTGGTTGTCAGATTTAACCGCCCCTCCACTCACTCGACACCCCAAGGCTCTGATTGGTTTGAGCAGCTGGCGAGCCGACTTCGCTTCGTACCTCGGGTCAAGCGTTTTGACTTTGCCAATGAGCCAGTTGTTCTGGGAGCAAATATACTGAACCTGATTCTCTTTCTTTTCGATCGAGGTTCATGTTGAAGTGGTGTTCAGCTGCAGTATCTGTCGATGCTGCACTAGCTCCTCGCCACTGGCCGAGGCGCTAACGCTAGCTTGCTGCTCTCGACATTTGTTTCCTGGCGGTCTAGTCATGGACTGTGGAGAGCTGTGACAACATCCAACTCTGCTCCGTGTCTTCTTCAGGCCCTTTTGGAGCAACACATCACCTCCACTGTCTATGTTTTTACTCAGCTGTTCTTCTTTCTGATCCGACATCGTGGTGACTGGCGAGTTCGCGTGAACTTGATGTTGAGTGAGTGACATGTAATGCCGGTAAACAAAGGTGGGCGCCACATTGTGTGACCATGACACAGCCTCTTTTTACTCATTGACCATGGGTAATAGAGAGGACTGGCACCTGTTGAGGAGTCCAGATACGCAGGAAAAGGTCCTGAACACAAAGGGTTCAAAACTAGAAGTGGCGTTCCTGCGTACCGGAGCGTCCCGGTCCACATAACCATCAGATCAGGAACATTTCAGGGGCAGCCCCCATTAAATGTTCCTCAAATGCTTCAGGAGTGTGAAAACAGCTTTATCTATTTTCACTGTCGTTACATGCAGAGACCACCAGTGGGCTCCAAAGTGCACCAATCTGAATTGTTCCTTAATGTTACTTTAACTGTGAGTACAGTGCCTTTTGCAACACGGCCCAGGTAGCTGATTTTAACCCAGGTCCCACCTAAAGTTTAACAGTCAATCCTAGTTTTGACTTTTTGGGTCGGCCAACCAGAGGTCAAGGGTCGCCC